TCTGGATAATGGTATAATTACCTTTTGCCTTGCAAAGGGACCACACATCCCATTAAACGCAATCAAGTCACGGAACCTACTTAATGGTTGCTGGTGCCACATCAGAGCATGGGGACTCTGTGCACACCATCCCACATTCAGAGGCATGATGGAGCACAAGCAGACCTGAGCATCTCTAGAATGGCCAGTTGCACTAGAAATACCAATACAGACACAAAGGCAGTAGAATAAGCTAACTAGCATGAGTCCTCAGGATAAAAACAAGGTTCTTCAGCGAGCCAGCAACGAGTCCTCTCCCAAACTCTCTAGCCCAGCCTTTTAGCTCCTCTGGCTCTTGGTCACCTACATTACCTACGTGCTATACTACCTAAATCCTTAATGATGTATCTGCCACTGTGCAATGCCAAGCGGTAAGCTGGGGCACATAGGTGTCCCTACTATCCAACTCTGTACCTAGGGCTGGCAAAACCAGCCTTGAAGTGCAGGGTGCAAAGGTGACACTGCCTCTGCTTCCAGATATCATTCAGGTATGTCACCATGTATGATGTATCACCTCTGCAGGTAGCGGAGACATGTTCTGAAAAGTGACCATCTCAGCCCATGCATCCTACCAGTGAGACACATTTGCAGAGGGAGAGAAAGGACGTTTATCATAAAAATCAAGACCATGCCACTAGGTTGGGCTGATTGCTTTACGTTGCCTGTAAAAAGCCCATTATCTTTCCAAAATCAAAAGTCTGCAGGGCAAGCCCCTAAACCCCTTACTCCAAAAAAACAACCAACCTTTTGCTTTGCTCTCAGTACACAGGTATGCCACCTCTATTGAGGGATACCACGTAGGTGACCTCGGCAAGCAGACCTATCCATTAGCAAAGCTGTACATCAACCTATGCAAAGATTTGAATTTGAGGGCAGAAGAGCAGACAAACCACTCTTACAGTAATGCTACATGGAAGGAAAAGTCCTGCTTTTAAATATTTTAAAACCTTTATAATCATTTACTATCTCTTTGCTTGTTAGAAGATTATAAGTAGACTAGCTTACTTGCATTGAGAAAACCACCATGCAATCTAACACTGCTCAGATATGCATGCTGTTTTGTTTTGTTGCCGGCATGCACAGAAGCCAAAATATGCTTCCCCTGCCCTGAGAACTGCTGAACTGGAAACTGAAGGTCGGGAAGAACTGCCTCAAGAAAAATAGCACATACAGTCTTCAGATAAAAATCACAAACCAACCTACCTACCTGCAACAGGACCCAGCATACTATTTTCCTTTAGAAGTAAGCTTAAAGAAAGCAGCAGTGCAAGAATACTGCCCTGTGAGGAAAGATTTTATCTACAATAGCCTTGATTATCGTCTAACCTTTTCCTGGCAACATCCAGCATGAGCTGATCCCAAATATGTCCCTGACCTACTCCTCTGTGGTTAGGAGTGCACAATATATGATTTGACATGCCGAAAAGCTTGCTTTTATGGCTGGATGCATTCTAGTCCTACCCCCTGTATGCTGGGATAAGGAACCACACTGTACTTTTGACATTTTTTTCAGGAATCAACTATAAATAGGCACTGCTGAGTTAACAGCTAAACCTCAGCTTAGGGCAAGCCAGAGATGTTTCCTTCGTAAGGCCAAAAAGCCTTACATCTTTACCCCTTTGCAGTGTTACAAATGAAAAGAAAAAAAAACCAAACACAAAAGACAAAAAACCCAAAACAAAACCCCAACAAAACACTGTGAAACTGAAAGCTCTCTTACAAAAAACCCCAATCCACACATACGTTTACAGGACTTCTATTCTGGATAGGGCTTAGTAACAAAAAGCAGAGTTTCCTCAAAGTGAGGAGCAAACTCACTGAATGTTTCAGTTGCATCATGAAAACCATCCTGTGAGAACCCCAGTCCAGCACTAAGCCTGGTTTGAATGTTAAAAAGTCACATATAACCAAAATACACCATCTGCCTCAGGAACCTCTTTCTCAGAGGCTCACAGCAGCAAATTGCAGAAATACTGTGGTACAGCTACTTCAAATTGTGTATGTGTGGCTGGAAAAGGAATCAATAATCACCTGATTTTAGCTGTTACCAGCACTGTCACCCCATGCCATAGTGACACATTTAAGCTACTTCTCAATGAACTTCCAGTGTTGGCTCTCAAGCCTCTAGCATTTCAAAGGCGAGAAGACCCAGCTTTTGGCAGCACTTGTTCCAAAAGCAACTTAACTTACCAAGAGAACTATCATTGTGTTGGTAAATGCAGACTCTGCTGAACTGCTTAATCTTGAAGGGGGCAAGGAAAAATACAGTATTATTATGTTTAAGGTTAGCCCAGAAGGAAAACAAATGATCCAGGGTATTCTAGACCAGCAGCTCTCTTACTCTGTTTACCCTAGGAATCCAACAAGAAGAGGCACCTTGAGCAACTTGTGGACACTTTCTGGTCACGCTTTCCCTAGTCTCTCCCCCCTGCTCCCAGCTTCCTCAGCAAGAACTCATGTTCTGATCATAAAATCTCCAAACTCTCTTACACAAGTGCAGTGATTCCCTTCTGAGTATCTCCTTCCATCCTGCAGACTCATTCCTAGAGCTTGGCATTCATGACCCGACAGAAGCAACCTCAGCTCAGTACAGCCGCACAGTACTCCCCTTACATCTTCCAGAACAGAGTCACCCCAACTAAATAAAAAAAAAAGTCATCCCCCCATATATCTGCTCCATGCAGCTGAAGCTACCTGACTCCACGGCTCAACCAGTTTTCCAACAAGATCAAAGCTCGTGCAGTTGTTCAAGGAGCATTTACTCCTCCAGTTTCTATCATGAATTACAGCAGCACTTGAAGAGTGCCAAAACCCAGAGGGATCGATTACTTCTGCCCTGTGAGAGGCAGCAGGCTGGGAGGGGACAGGACAAGCTGTAAGCACAGCAGCACTGCATTATGCACAGACGCAGTTTTGCTGCTGAATGATTGACAATAACTACTGGATGTCACTATTTTAAGGATAATGTCATTTGCGTAATTATCTGGCAGGGTATCTCTTCAGCAGCTGGCATTATTCACAAGGGAAGAATTAGACTGAAATCCAGCTGCAGAGTAAGTAGATTTGATATTCTATGCAGACAATCACAGTGCTTTAGAAGCTCAATACATATGGTATATATCATTAGTAATTTTCATACTGTCAGGACCCAGAGAATACTAAAATGACACTCCTCTATTTCACTGTGCCACATATATCTTATGATTTCATACTTAAAAATAGTTTAATATTATCTGTCCTCACCTGACCATCTGTTTCTTATTGGAGCTCAAGCCAGGAAGAGAAAGAGAAATTGCTTTTACTTGACTTATCCTATCATCTCACCATCAGATAGGTAAGTGTCCCCCGCACAGCCCCTGGCCCTTTGGCCACTTTAGCCCTCAGCTATTCTGGGTTTAGTGTGTTCAAGCTGGGGTTTATCTGATAAGAGAGGACATACTACTAAAGACAGGACTGCATCGCCCGGGTTAAACTATGCGAAGTCCCAAACCAAATGGCATTTGGCCCAACCCACAGTCTGAAATGGTACTAACAGAGCCTGACTGGGATTGGAACTGGTCCCATCCTGGACCCAGTTGTGGGTCCCAGCTGTACAACTGTAACCAAGCAGCAAAAAGAGAGAGTTGACGTTATTCTTTGCAGTACTGGCATGCCACAAGTAGAACTGAGCCAGGGCTACATCAGACCATACCCAAAAATGCATGCTTTGCTGCTGGAACCCAGGTAACAGTATTCCAAAGAAAACAACTGACTGTTCCTCCTTTCCACAACTCTGCGCAGGCGGATGCCAGAGGTGTCCTGCAAGGCATGCCAGAAAGAAACCTTTCTGTGTAACCAGACTGTCTCAGTGCTGACATGTCCCTGCTCTACATGTCCTGTTCCACCCCAGAACAGGTCTTGCTCTGCCCCTGGTTTACATGGGACGATGCTGGTCAAATTGTCGTCTTGATTAGGGAGGCCTCTGCAAATCCATGCTGGCTGGTCCATGCCTTGATGCTTGAGTTGCTAGTGGAGCACTTTAGCAGTACAGAAGGGAGCAAAATATCACTAAACTGCCCCCCTGAGTACAGAGAAATGACCAAAAAATCCTGAAAAACCAAAAAAATGCACTGCATATGGGAAACGGCTTCCTGAGAACAGCCATGAGACCTGGGAGCCAAGGCTGATGCCGAGAGTCAATGATGCTCTGATCCTGCTGCAAACAAAAAGATGCCAGACATGGACAGGAA